GTGTATGTACGCAAATTGTACGTAGTAAACGACGAACGGAATTCGTTGCGAAGCTCCCCGTCGCGTCAGACGATAATCTCGAAACATAAATCGTCCCACTTCGTTACTAATCCTAGTAATAAAAAAATATGTGAGAGGGAGAAAGAGGAAGAGAGAAAGAGAGAGAAAGAGAGGGAGAAAGAGAGAGAGAGAGAGTTCTTATTGGACGAACGACCATTCGAAATTAAAATCATAGCAACGCAACGAAGCAAGTTTCCGTTCTCAAGACCACTTTACGCACATAATGTTGCGTTATCTACTACTACCAATAAAATTTTTATGCTTTCATTAACCAAATATGTAGTTATGTACCATCTATCTATAAATTATTTAATCATAAAACATTTATTATGGTAGAAGATAGTCGGGATGTTTGTATGTAAAACATTTATAATATATTTCAACATCGATCATTATCGAAGGGCAGGATGCATTCGGTAGCAAATGATCGATCATTGCCATTCGATCGATCATTGCCTTCGCACGAAACGATCGTTGTGCGTTTTACTTTTAGGGTATATATATATATATATATATATACATACACACACACACACACACAAACAGTAATATGTGCAACGCCTTTCAAATTCTTTTGGATTTAAACCTATCAACGTCATACATCGTGACCGATAAGTGTGAACTCGTGGATCGTTCTTTTAACACATTTATCGCCATAAAATGTAGATATGTGTGTGTGTGAGTATGAGTACGAGTGTGTATATAGATTGACTTATACGTACGTATCCGCATGCTTATATGTCCTTTTAACACATTTATCGTAATGAATGTATGTGCTTATATATCTATACATATACACATATTTATGTATATGTGTACTTAGTATTTAGTACAGTTTTTGTATTAAACGATCAACTGTGACCGATATTCGGTTTTCCGTTTATTTATATTTCTCATATTTACACTATGACGTCACTGGTAGGGACACTCAAATAAATATGTCATGTGCATGTATACATATATGTATATATATATATATATATATATATATATATGTATATATATATATTTATATTAATATGTATATATTAAAATAAATGTATATATGTTAAGATGTATTTATTTATACTACAATTTAATACAATGGTAATATATATACGATAATATTATATTACAATAATATTATAGTATAATAATTTATAGATATGCATTTATACAAACATATACAATTTATATATATTATATATTCATATAATACATATACTATTTAAACACACATATACACACATACTCTTTCTTTCTCTCTCTCTCTCTCTCTATCTATCTATCTATCTCTTCCTGAGTATATATATACCATAATCTCTATCAAGTATATTTTTGTGAAATTTAATACTATAATTCAATATTAAACATTTCATTATATATTCTTTTTAATATACTTTGATGGAATTGGATTTAATTATAAAATCAGTGAAAATACGAAGTTTTCCTTCCGAACGAGTTAAGAATGCTGATTTTACTGCAATCATCTTTCTAGTTAGTTACTTTAGACAGAAATAGAGTGATCTTAACGATTATTTTTTAATCTTTCTTAAAACTTTAATAAATCTCTAATTTCTTCGGCATCGGCTTTAAAAAGATTTGAGTATTTCATATGACCTATTATTTCAAATTAATGATTTGTTCCCCCTTGCCTTTTTCTATTTTATCTCATTGCAATGTTTGAAAATAAAACGGAAAGATCGGATTAAAAGGGAAACGGTCTTATCTCGTCTTTATCCTCCATCGAAAATCTTTTTTCCTTTCTTCCTTTCTCTTTCTCTCTCTCTCTCTCTCTCTCTCTCTCTTTCCTTCTCTCACCTCTCTCTCTCTCTCTCTTTCTCACACACACTCTCTCCCGTTGGTACGATAATCCTTGGCAAAGGGAAGCCGGCTGGCGCGAGCCGATAATAACCGACATGTAACGAGGCGACGATTAATGTCGATTATTTACGAGCCGCGAACTAAGATCGCAGGATGAGAGAGGGAGAGAGAGAGAGAGAGAGAGAGAGAGAGAGAGAGAGAGAGAGAGAGAGAGAAGGGAAGAAGAAGAATAATAACAACAAAAAGAAAAAGAGAATTAAAATAGAAAGAGCAAGAGAACAAGGGAAGAAAGGGAGAACGTGAGAGAAAGAGATAGAGAGAATGAGAAATAGAGCGAGAGAAAAAGTGTGTGTGAGAGGGAGAAAGAGGCGGAGTAAAAGAAAAAGAAAAATAGAACGTGAAAGAAATAGACAGAGAATAAAGTGAGAGAGAAAGAAATAAAAAAAGTGAGCGAGAGAGAGAGAGAAAGAGATGGAGTAAAAGAAAAATAAAAATAGAACGTGAAAGAAAGAGACAGAGAATAAGAGAAATAAAGCGAGAGAGAAAGTAATAAAAAAAGTGAGAGAAAGAGAGAGAGAGAGAGAGAGAGAAGAAACAAGCGTGGGCGTT